GGCGCCCGCCCAAGAGCAGGGCAAGTTGTCAAGGTTAAAAAGGCAGAGGAAAGAAAGTCCAGCCTAAAGAAAAGGATTATAGGGGGTTATTTGAGCCCAACTGAGCACAGGTTCCGGAAAGCAAAATCTCAACAGATGGAGAAAATCTTCCAAAGAATGGCAGTTTTGCATCTTATTTTATACGTTAGCGTAAAAGGAGGAAACATAAAGAGGGTCACAAGAAATCCATTGGTGGTAGAGTAAGGAGGCAGAAGAAAGCACTGTAGGGAAATATCTAGGACAGGGGTCCTCAAACTTTTTAAACAGGGGGCCAGTTCACTGTCCCTCAGACCGTTGGAGGGCCGGACTATAGTTTAAAAAAAAACTATGAACAAATTCCTATGCACACTGCACATATCTTATTTTGAAGTAAAAAAAACAAAACGGGAACAAATACAATATTTGTATTTGCATGTGGCCCGCGAGCCGTAGTTTGAGGACCCCTGATCTAGGATAAGATAAAAAGTAAAACGGAGAGACATATATACGTCTTTTACATTGGTTGGTACAGCACAGCTAACATTTACAGCAATAGAGATGGTATGGGGGGGGGGGGGTGCAGGGAGAAGATAATGTGGGATTCTGTTGTCTCGTGCCCTGTGGGATCTGGAAAAGGAGATTACTCTGACATTTCAAAGTCTATTATTTAGATGCAAAAAGACAAATGAAAAGCTCACCGAAGGTAAAGGTTGACCTTTGTGTGACTACCCACCATGACTCACTTTTAATTAGGAATTTTTATGTTCAACGATCCTATGTGGTTACTTTCCATCTCTGAGTGTGTAAGGCCTGACATACAGGCCTCCCCTGAGCTTGTCAGGTTTATTATGTGGCCCCTTTGTTTTGTCCACAAAAAGTGAAGTCCTTTATACAAGAATGGATTGAGCAGTTGGCAGGGAAGAGGACTTGTCCCCCGAACCAGAAAATGACACTACTACATTGTATTCATTCTAAAAAGCCATTATTTGGAAGGCATCTTCATTTCAGAGATGTTAATGTGAAAAAATATAGTGCCATTGAGAATCTTTGGCAGATAGTAGGTGACACTCACTAAGTGGTGACTACATACTAGACACTGACCCAATTTCTTTACATGGAGTCTCTCCCTTAATACTGATGACAACCCTAAGAAGTGGAGAGATCATCGCTCTTGCATTCTCATTTTAGAGATAAGACCACTGAACCAAGGAGAAGTTAAATCGCTTGCTTACGGTCACATAGCTATGAGAAACAGAAAGGCAGCCCTGACCCCCAGGTGCTGGCCTGGTACTATCAACCAGGGTTGATGTTGCCACGAACTGCCTGGGTGCTCACAGCTCATTCCTATGGAACATAACAGCAGACAAGGTGGCTTCATAAGCATATTTAAACACAGCAAGAACATGAATATTGTCCAAGCCACAAAAATGACCAAACATCCCCCAATTCTAGCTAATACGAGTGACTCCTGGTTCTTTACCAATTACAGCATTAGCCTGTCTAGTCTTGCTACATCTAGACAAGATTTATTAAGATATCTCTATATATAAAAGGCTAATATGCTAAGTGTCCCTCCCTCCATCCGACCAGTCACTATGATGCTCACTGACCACCAGGGGGCAGATGTTCAACGCAGGAGCTGCAGTGACTTGGCAGCAGCAGTTCTCGGGTGATGCACCCCAGAACCAGAGAGGAGGGAGCCCGATTCCTCACGGGGCATGCGATTCCACCTTCAGCCATGGGTTATGTTGTTGCTGGGGCACTGTTGGCCCCGAATCTGGTTTACTGCACACTTGTGTTTGCGTTCCACACCATGCACTACAGCAACTTTGCAGAGTGCCCTCTTGCACTCCAGGACCCCAGCTGCTGGAGGGACCCTGCTCACTCCACAGATGCCTTTTGAGCCACAGTGCCACCCCAGTTGCAGCCAGCTGGGGAGGGACTGCAGGAGGTTGGCTCCAGGGTGTGTCCGGCCCATCTCGCCCAGTTGTCCACCTTCTAATTCAGTGGTCGCCAACCTTTCAGACCTCAGGAACCATCAGTGATCCACAGACCAACAGTTGGCGACCGCTGTAAATCTAATAAATTTTCTTTCAATGTGCATGAATCCGTGCACTGGGTCACTAGTCTAATCATAAAATTTAACCCCACTTCCTGACAGTATGCAGTCCAGAGGGAAGCCCCTCTTCCGTAAACTCTCCCCCAAATCATCTCCTAACACAAATGTGAATCCTTTAAGTCCTTCCTTATCACTGATTCCCCTCCAATAGGCAATCAAACCAACTTTTTCAGCTACAGATGTGTTCCTGGTGGCTTTTAGCTGGAGAACATTGGCCGCAAGTAAGTTAACGAGACATGATTGGGACCCAAGAAGTCATTGACTCCAGAGACCTCCCCTTTCCAGCCCTCCCCACACACTACATTATGTTGACTCCTGAACTGCAGAATTCTGTTAGAACTGCACTGCACACCTGGGTACCCAGTACTTGAAATGTATCTAGTCCAAACTGAGACGTGGTATGAGTACAAAATTTTAAAGACTTTGTGCAGAAGCAAAAGGATGCAAGATATTTCATTAATAATTTTTATATTGATTATGTGTTGAAATGATACATTTTAGATATATTGAAGTAAATTAGATATTATTAAAATTAATCTTACCTGTTTCTTCTTATGTTTTAATATGGCTAACAATTTTAAATTATATATGTGGCTCACATAGTATTTCTGCTGGACAGTGCTGTATTGGTACTTTCTTATGATGCAGCTAATATCCATTCATGGATATATTTATTTATCTATTCAACAAAAGTGTATTGTATATCTACTATGTGCCATGCACTGACAAGATGAAAAAGATGTGGTTCTTGTAAGGCTTGTACAGTATAATGGCTAAACAGGCTAATGAACAACTTTTTTTCCCCAACAACAAATACTTATTTATTATTGAATGTGGGCTATGAGCCTGGCACCACTCTAAACACAGCTGTGCTTAAGTGAGACAAAAATCGCTCTATCATTAGAACTTATATTCCAGTGACAGAACCAGATAATAAAATAAATAAGTTATCTAGTATATTAACAGATGTCAAATGCTGTGGAGAAAATAAAACTGGCAGGGTGATAGGAACTCTAGGCGGTGCTGCAATTTTACATAGGATGTTGTGGTAGATCCGGAGATACACTCCCCAGGTGTGACTTCTTGGAAGGAGGGTGGTCAGCAGGTAGTCTCTAGCTTTCCTCTCTTTCGGAGTCTGCCTTAGCTGCAGGGAGCCACTGTGGCTCAGCCATGTCCTCCACAGGCAGCCTGAATTCGGTGACTAAATGAGACATGAATGTAAAGGCCTGGCCATTTCAGCCAGACCCAGGACACACTGATGGGCAACACTGGCTCTAGAACGCTCTCCTGGGTTGGATGAGGCTTTGCCAGGCCTGCACTGCAGCTGACTTTGTAGGCCTACTCCTGTTACACCTCCTTCCTTCACAGCCATGGATCCTAATAAACACTCTGTGTGCCAACCTCTGTGTCAGCATCTGCTTGCAGAGAATGCAACCTGAGACAAATGGCCAGGAAAGACTTCTTGGAGAAGGGGACATTTGCGCAAAAAAGGAAAGGAGGGAGTAGTTGTGTGGAAATATGGGACAAGCGCTGTCCTGGGAAAGGGAAGAGCAAGTGCTAAGGCCCTGGGGTGAGAACATGCCTGGGGTTTTCTAGGATTGGCAAGGGCGGCTGGAGCAGAGCGAGTGAGGAGTGCCGAAGGAGGTGAGGACAGAAGGGTCACCAGACAGACCATGCTGAGCCCTGAGGAATGGTAAGGACTTTGACTTTAAGTGAGATGGAAAACCATTGTAGGAGGGTTTGAGCAGACTGGCTTAATCTGCCTTCAATTTTGTTTTATTTTACTTTATTTCTTTTTATTTTTAAGGAACAGCTTTATTTATTTTTAAATTTTTATTTACTAATTTGAGAGAGAGGAAGGGGGGCAGAGAGAGAAAGAAACATCCACATGTTGCCCCACTTATTTATGCATTCATTGGTTGCTTCTTGCATGTGCCCTGACCAGGGATGGAACTGGGACCTTGGTGCGTCAGGACGATGCTCTAACCCACTGAGCTACCTGGTGAGGGCTTTACTTTAGTTCTGACGGCAACTCAGGGCCATGCTTATTTCAAGAATAACCCCACCTACTGCCACCCTGATTATTTTGAAAATCTGATACCTTCTTTTTCACAAGTAAATATGTCAGTGTAAATCTCTAAAAGTTAAAGATTTAAAGAAAAGCAAAACTAAAATACCGCCATTGAGAACCCCCCACCCCAAATAATTATCTGATATTATTTAAAAGCTTCTCAGTATTCAAATAATCCACATCTCATTTTTTTCAGTTGATTTGTTCCAACCAGGGTCCTAACTAACTAGGTCCATACTTGGTTGTGTCTAGGACCCTGTTTATCTATAGATCCTCCCTCCCTCTTTGTCACCCTGCAGTTATTTGGTGAAGAAAACACAGCCGCCCCGCCCACTGCATGCTGGTCCCAGCCCGGCCCGGCCCGGCTCAGCGCTCGGATTCCGGGGGACTGTGTTACCGCGACACTGACCCACCGCTTTTCCTTCCGCCCACCCTTGCCTTCGCCCCTGCAATGGCTTCCGGGCTGGGAAGGCTGCTGCTGCAGGGGCCTCGCTGCCT